CCCCACCTCTCTGTTCCCCCCCACCTCTCTGTTCCCTCCCCCTCTCTGCTCTCTTCCATGCTCTGTCAACTGTCCACTGGGCCACCTCTCTACTCTCTTCCATTCTCTGTCAACTGTCCACTGGGCCACCTCTCTGCTCTCTTCCCTATAAAAAAGCCTTTTGAATAGCAAAATTGGGCCACGACAAATAGATAATAGATAGTTCGTCCAGTATGATCTGACCATGATCTTAAACATCCAAGGTGGAGAAAAGCTATCTGGCTACGTCAAAAAGGAAAGTAGAATTCAAATAACAGACAGAGAGAGAGAGTTAAGTTGAACAACTTCAATAAATGCTTAAGTAGAAACGTGAATAGTCGTGGATCAACGGAGAAGTAGATAGAACTGACAAATAAATTGTGAGGCAGCGTGGTGGAATCAGGCTCTCGTCAAAATAATAAAAGAGAAGAAACTGGAATTTTTCTGCAGGTTTGTAAATTTTTATCAAATTTTGTTTTTTGGCTCAATATCTTTCATGCCCATTAAAGAACTCATTTCTGAGTGGATTTTCCTTAAAAACGTCGATTAAAGGCACCAAAAATGCACATTTTTCAATTACCACGGACTCTTAAGCTAAGGAAATAACTAATCGTTGGCGACCATTTTCTCACTTATTTTACTTCTGAAAACAAGTGACACCTACCTTTTTCATTCGCAAATATCTCGACTCGTATTCAAGATAAATGGATATTTTTAAAAATCCAAATAAAGACAAGTGAACAAGCTTTCAGATGTTACAAATAACTCTACATGCTCAAAAATTGACGAGAGCCTGATTCCACCACGCTGCCTCACATCTGTGCTCTAATCTGTAATAATAGAAATAACAAGACAAATCCTGCTGAACAAAGTGAAATGTAGAAAAGTACAATACTGTGGCCCCCTAAAACGCCACTCGTTAACTTCCTTCAAATTATAACAAACAATTATGATGTTTCAAATAACTTTTTTTCTGCCATATCTGTACACCGATGTGTCAAGGTTTGATTCACGTGAGTACGTTCACAATCCATTGAGATAGTCATGAGCTCAGTGTTTC